AAGAAGTAACTTTTCCAAGACAGGAGTAAAAACCACTCTCTCCCAGCAAGTCTGACATCTTCTATATTCTTTACACCGGGAGTGGGAATGATGTGGCTCTCAGGCCACAGGAACAATGCTGGACTCCCAAGGAACTCATGATGGTGGTCCATGATGATGGAAACCCAAATCCTAGAATGTAGGAGACCCTGACTAACTGCAAAAATCATGTTGTACTCATGCATTTTGGCTCCACAACTCATTCACGGAGAGAATTCTCTTTGAGACTTGGCTTGAATTAACTGATGTGCTTCTGCTGCTGTTTCACATAACCCACCACATTATTGGAACTGCCTCCTGCAAAGCAATAATGGCATGGTTAGAAGAGAACAGCAACCCTAGGCCATTAAAGAACATTTTAGTCATTTCCATTTATTTCTGTTTTGTTTCTGAGCCCATGTTTGTCCCAAACCTGGGTTGCAAGGTAGCTCACAACATGATTCAAAAGAGGTACAAATAAAAATGATGATAATTTGTGTCATTAAAACAGAACCAAACAAGTTTGCAATATGAAAAAACACCAAATGGATTTAAAACGGTTCTAGAACCACATAGATTAAATATATTGATAACAACCATAATTTAAAATTAAGACATAGTCTAGAAAATCAGTATGCAAAGGGATCTTGTAGCCCCTTTGAGACAAACTGAAAGATAGAAGTTGGTAACATGAACTTTCATAGACTTGACCCTACTACCTCAAATGCACCTGAGGAAGTAGACTCAAGTCTACACATTTATTTATGAAATTTCATAATGAAAGCCAGGATCTCGGGATGTAATCTTGTTAAACTTAGTTGCTTCTGCCCTCCCCTCCTGCAAGTACTCAATACTCTAAAAACTAGAATGCTGTGAAGCCCTCTGTATTAGATATCATCCAACTATCCTGGTTTAGCAGGGACAGTCCCAATTACTCCTCAGCTTTTAAAATGACCCAGTTTCTCTCTCTTCTTGCTTTGTCCTCAGCTTATTTCAATGGCTGCAAACTGATTTCAAAATGCAAAAGGCGTTTGCATTCAATTATCATGAGGAAGAGGAGGCAGTCTTGAACATCCCAGTAGGCTCAGGCAAAAGCAATCTGCACAGTCTCTCCTAACTTGTGTGTTCTTTCTCATTTATAAATTTTACCATCCTCACCACACTCTGATGTTGCTTAGACACAGGATGACATGATAGAACATTGGAGAATGGCTTATAAGAAACAAAAAGAGATCAGTAATCTGTTGAACTTCCCATTAAAGTAGATCAAAAAGTGCAACATATTCTATAATATCTATATTATAAACATTTTCATAAGAACAAACAAGGAAGGCAGACTTCACCATGATTTGTATCTTGCAGACTTACCAAAGTATTCCTTATAATGTTTAGGCCGTAGATTCCACCCATCTGGAGAAGGAAAAAGCAAAAGAAGTTTGAGCAACTTAAATAAATGACCAAATGGCAATTTTGCATTGACGGTAAACATGTGAGTTGGGTGTTCTCCATCTTTCTAAGTTTTCCAACACTTTAAAAAAGAAGCAATAGAGCATTTGGAGCTCTGAACAACAGAGCAAAGAAAAAAACCCTCACTCTCCTTTTACGCTTTGCTCAGTGAGACAGCTATAGAGACATCTAGTGTCCTAAAGCCTAACATGCAGGAATGTCAAACTGGAAAAAGGTTTCTAAAAAGGAGAGTCAAACTATAGGAGAGTTTTTGTGTATCATGTAGGGGATTTTGTGCACAATAAGTCTCCAACTGCAAAGATTCATGTAGTGAATTTTATGCATAAGTCTCCAACTGCAAAGATTCATGTAGTGAATTTTGTGCACAATAAGTCTCCAACTGCAAAGATTCGTAGTGAATTTTGTGCACAATAAAACTTCAACTGCAAAGATTCATGTGCAAATGTTGTGCACAATAAGGCTCCAACTGCAAAGATTCATGTAGTGAATTTTGTGCACAATAAGTCTCCAACTGCAAAGATTCATGTAGTGAATTTTGTGCACAATACAACTTCAACTGCAAAGATTCATGTGCAAATGTTGTGCACAATAAATCTCCAACTGCAAAGATTCATGTAGTGAATTTTATGCACAATAAATCTCCAACTGCAAAATTCATGTAGTGAATTTCGTGCACAATAAGTCTCCAACTGCAAAGATTCATGTAGTGAATTTTGTGTACAATAAGTCTCCAACTGCAAAGATTATCTTTTTGAGTTTTCTGGCACTCCAGAGACACATGTTAAAAATATTTTCAGATATGTTTTCCATCCACCCTTAGCTGTGCTAAGCCTACCCAACTTTTCCATCTATTACAGTGGCAAAAACATACACAAATTCCCTTCTGGAAATCTGTCTTTCATCTAAGGAATGGATTGGCCATTGGCGTAGGTGAAGGGGCTTTGGGTTTGCACTGGCATACCAGAAGTTCCACGTAGCTTGATGCACTGGCCCCTATTGGGGATGCCCTCAGCAGCATTGCCAGGGTTGATGATGTGGCATTCATATCCTGTTGGACAGTGTAGGGGTTCATCTCCATCCTCAGTGGTGCTGCAAGCTTCGGCTATGAGAAGAAAGAGAAAAGCAAATGGTGATCCCAGCCAGTTGGGACCAAAGGTCTATCAGACCCATCATGCATCTAATCCAGAAATGAACAGCTGCTGCCACAGTGCAGAATTCATGCAGTTTGACACTGCCTTAACTGTCATGGTTCCATCCTAGGAAATCCTAGGATTTGTATCTTGTTGTGGCACCAGAACTCTCTGACAGAGAAGGCTACATATCCCACAAAACTACAATTCCCTGGATCCCATAGCTTTGAGCCATGGCAATTAAAGCAGTGTCAAACTGCTTTATTTCTGCAGTGCAGATGCAGTCAGAGTTTCTCCTGATTTCTTGACTGCAATCTCTATTTTGGGTAATGATAGAGCCAAGATATAGGAAACTGCTCAGTGGTGAGTTAATGCATAAGCAGAACCTATCGAGCAAACAATAGTAAACAACTCTAGTTGGGACTAACAAGAACATTCAGGTTGATTTATTTTATTTTATTTGCATGGAAAGTTGTGAGGTTTTGGGGGAGACTGGCAACAAAGTATTTTAATCTGAACAAAATGTTTGTGTGAGAAATCCCCAGATCGGTGCAAATGTGCAAAAACTTTGGTCTTCTTGCCCACCGTTCCACTGACACAGGAGCCACTACTTTCCAAACAATGGACATGTTTTATTCTTCTTGCTGCCGTCTTACCTTGTAAAACTTCCTCAGGTCCATCAAGCAACCAGCCATTGCCTCCTAACCAACGTGGTTTCGGCTGCACCAACCAATCTAAAACTTTTCAAAGAGACCACATTATTATGCGAAATTTGCATGTTAAGAATAGTATAAGTCACAGAAAGGGAACCTCAACGTAAAGGTGGATGAAGTTGGTATTTTGGGTTCCACCCGCTTATTTATTTGACCCACACATAACTGGAACTCAGTTCCTGAAAATGTATCTGAAATTGAATTTGGCCCTACAGGAAAAAGGGGTTGTCCATCCCTGATATAAGGTTGACTAACACTATGATAGATAAACAGTCTGTCATTTGGAAATCTAAATACCTTGAAGGCATCAAACACCATCTGATCATGGAAGCTAAGCAGGGTTGGCCCTGCTTAGTACTTGGATAGGAGACTTCCAAGGAGTACTAGGCATTGTGGGCTCTATTTCAGAGGAAGGCAATGGCAAACTGTT